TCAATTAATAAATATTTTAAAATTTTAATACAAACACACATCAATTAAACAAAAAAGTTAGTTGAAAATTTAATTAACAGCGACTATTTGTAAAGATACCGCGTAAAAAATTAAAAAAGCGGTTTCTAAGACAATGCTGCGGGAGAGAAGTGCGTGAAAAATAGGAAAAGCAGCAAAAAAAAATAAATAAATAAAAAAATATATAAAAAATGCAATACTCACTGAGCAACGTTAAAAAGGTAAAATTAAATAAAAATTATTAATGACACGCGCCATCTTGAAGACTCATAGTCAGTCATAAAATAAATGATTATGAAGAAGCATTTACTGCCGAATAGTTTCTTTTATTATTATTTAATTTACGTTTTTTGTTTTCAACTAATTTTTTTTTTATTTTTTTTTTTTTTTTTTTGACGACTCATTCACTCCTCACCGACAATCTAACAAGCCCAATCACCAGATGAGTTTATAAAAAACGTCTAACTTGAATTAGTAATAAAAACAGAAAACACTTTGCTATAAGCATGCGTAGAAAGTTTTATAATTAGCCAACGCACAGACACACAGACAAAAGCGGCGCAAGGCATTCATGATGCAGCAAAATATGCCGAGTATGATTACACGTAGAAACTACTAAATTCTTTTTATGCGCGCACATAAGAGCAACGCAATTTTTTGTCACTATTTTGCCAAGTTTACACGCAGAGAATACACGAGAAGAAAGCATCGTTTGCGCATGCGTACCTGACCTAACCTCCAGCCTAAGCTGGGCAATTTACTGCTTCTGAGCTGCTGATGCTGCGCTTGTTGTTGTTTTATAAAGTGAGATTGCTGTTATTGGCAATTGCTGCATTAATTCTTTTGTTTTTCCTCGCCTTTTCGTATTATCAAAGCGATTCTTCAACGTATTCTTCTGCTTATTCGTCGTTTATTTATCTGCATTCAGCGACTACTTTACATACTTGGCATGATGATTGGAGTATTGTGTCGCTGCCACCAATGCAATTCTTTATCTTTTCATTTCTTTTCACTACGTTTGGCTATTCGTAGTTATTGTGTTTTTTATTATTAGTATTTATTTTTTTTTTTTTGCTTTGTTTGTTTATTTGTTATTGACTATAATTTGGTCGCTTAACGGTGCAATTTTGCAATTACTGCATATGAGTGGCGAGCGCAGCGCGTAGAGGTCATTGCGACGGCAGGCATACATGTAATAGCTGTGGCTTCTTCATTTCCATTACTCTTTCTTCTGTGTGTGGCATAGAAAAACAATTCCTTTTTTTTCACATGCAAGCCGACTTTGTGGCATTTCTCTACTTTTGCATTTGGCACAAATCGAATTATCGACCTCAGCAGCCGCTAAGTGTTGTCGAAGAGGCACTTTGAAGCGTTGGAAAAAAATATGCGCGCATGCTGCCGTTTTGTGCCAAATTGTTTTCTAAATCGATTGCCACTGTCATTAGTTTGCTTGTCTTCTTTTTTTTTTAGAATTTATTCTATTTTTTGAATAGCTTGCTTGTTGTTGTTTTATAGTTGAGAGTCACTTCAGCAGTTGAGTTTATAGAAAATATGAATGTCAATAAGAAAAAAATGTTTTGATGTACAAATACAAAAATTATTTTAAGTCGACACTTCCCTTTTGTTATAACAACATAAAAATTATTTTTTTTCGTTTTCATATTTTTTTATTAGATTTTTTATTTTTTAATTTATTTATTTTAATTTGCATAATTTTTGTTTTTTCTTTTAATTTTAAATACTGTTTTATTTTGCAGAATACTATAACTTTACTTATTTGTAAATAAATTACTGTTATTACAATTTAATTTATTTATTACAATTTTTTAAAATTTAAATTCTAAGCACTCTCAGTGTGAACTAATAAAAAACTAGTTGGTTTTAAGTGAGTTATTAAACCAGTTGCATTTACATTCAAGTTTATATAGAAGAGGCTATTGCGAGCAATTTTGCTGCATAGACCTACTTCCAAACTAGCGAAAATAATAAATACAAAACTTATTTTCTTTAATTCAAATGTACAACTTAGTGGTGTGTTATCAACTATTTACAAGTAATACAGTTTTAGATTTTTTTTTTTTTGATTTTAGTTCTTAATTTAGAACTTTCGTCCTTTTGCATGGTGCACGTTTTCTTCCAACGGAAAGATATTATTGTTAAAAATAAATAAATAAACTACAACTAATCAACTCATCACTTAAAAAGCCCTATGAAAATCTACACTCAATTATTTTAAGCAAAATGTCTTAATAAATAAGCACTGCCCAACTGGTTCATTACGGCCTAGTTGTAAAGCTCGTTGCAATATTATTTACAAATAATTATCTTTCATTTTTACCTACTTTACTACAAGTAATATGTATTAAAAATAACTACTTCTTAACTAGTTCATTATTGACTAGTCGACACATTAGTTCAAATATAATTTTCAAATAATTAGTTTTGGCTTTTGAATACTTTAATATAATAATAATTCGTAAACTTCGTATAGCTGTCAGTTTTGTATTATATTACAACAAGCATCGCTAACTACCCCCAACATCAGTGCAGCGCTGCCAAATTTTCACCCCACAATATGACTGAAAACTCAATTGCCAGCTTAATACCAATTGTTTACTTACAAATTGTGTGAAACAAAAGCAATGTTGAATGTAAAAAAAAAAATTCAAAATAAAATTGAAAAATTGACTAAAAAAAAGTGTTGATTGTGGTTTTCAGTTCATTTTTACAGCATTACGATTGCCACTCATTGTCCCTTTGTTTGTTTTTCTTTTTTCTTTTTCATTTTTTCTGCTCGTTATTGTTTTGTAAACACGCGCATATTGCCGGAAGCGCATTTGACAAGCTTGCAACGTTAATGCGCCCTTAAATATGTTTCTTATTTTTGCTGTTGTGCGTTGAGCTCTGCTAAATTGCTTTTTGTTTATATTTGTTTATGTAAATTTTTTAATCGATTTCGATTTCATTGCAATTGTGTTTTGTAAATTTTCTCGTGAAAAAAATATATGTAAAATCTGGCGTTATGTTTGAGTTGGCGGATTATATCGCATTTCTGTGTACGAAAACAATATATAAATGTAGTTGTTTCTGTTGCTTTGGGGAAAATATCATGATTTCAACTAAGCTGTGTGTGAAAACAACCCTTCGTGCTTGCCATTAATGATTGTGGGCAAAAATTTAAATGATATGATATAGTAGAGTTATTTTCTGAATTAAATATTTTTTTTTTTGCTTTAAAAAAATTGTTAAAATTATAAAAAAAATTTTTTTTTACAAATATATACAAGACTTTAAGTATACATATTTTTAAAGTGACTTAAAAATATTTTCTTCTTATTCTATTTCTCATAGATTAACTCAAATTTAATATATACGAGTTTCTTTCCTATATGTGCCGAAAAAAAGATTTTTTTTATGTCACTAACACAGTACTCTCTCTAACCTCACTTTGGTTCAAACAAAAAAAAATTTTTTTTATTTCTTCTAATATGTGTGCGGAGTGCACATCGAAAGACATTCTAGATTGCAATATTTTGCTTTAATAAATTCCCTTGAGATGCAACACGTGACTAATATCAAATTACCATCATATGTAATGCCACAAGCACATACACACCTACAAACAAACCGGAGTGAATGGTGGGCAATAATATTTCATATAAGCAAAGAATCTAGGGTTGTTTGTGGGCAAATGAAGAAAGACCATTTTTATTGTTACTTAGAAAAGAAAAAAACAAAAACAAATAAGCAATATCTTCTAATATAATTGGACGCGGTTTGTTAGCTTTATTATTATTGCCACTTACACCATTAGAAGTTATTTCTTTAACCATTAAAAGTGTATAAGTTTATGTACGGTAATAAATTATGATGACACCGAATATGATTTGGAATTGGAGCATCACGTTGAGGAGTGTTTCTTGTTACTAGTTTTCCTGCTTTTTTTTTGGTATGAAGGTAAATTTTTTATAAAGAAAATTTACTAAAAAACACAAGAACTAAATTCTGAATTTTCATCAAATATTTATTTTTACTAGTAGTACGGATTCATTATTTCAATTAATTTTTATCGAAATTTGAGTGTAATAAAAAGTGGTTAAATATTATTAAATTTAAGAAAAGAATTAAAAGTGCGAAAATCCATTTTTTTTGAATTTTAAATATAAAAAACAAGAAATTATTATAATTTTTGATATAAGTATTAAGTATTAGCCTAGTTTTTTTGTACGAATTGAATATTTTGTTATACAACAAAGAAAAATGCTGTTTCGGATATCGCCACATCTCCTCATCAGACTTCTTATGGCCGGGATCGAACCAACGGATCCTGACTTAACAGGCGAGTGCTCTACCACTGCGGCAAAATCAGCCATATAATGTATTATTCAATTCATTATTACCCAACAACTATTAAGTACGTCAATTTAGCCGCTATTTTCTTAATAACCAAGCGGGTTGTTTTGGAATCCTCTTTAATTTCAGACGTTAATTGACCGAAAAATATATAGGCAGTATTAAATGTCAGGATCAACTTATATATTCATTATTGTTTTTATTATTATTATTATTATTATTATTGTTATTATTATTATTATTATTATTATTATTATTATTATTATTATTATGTACCAAATGTTCTAAGAAACGGCTTGAAATCATTTCATCTAGATTATATAACATTTAAATGCACTATAAAAATGTTGCCTACATTTAGGCGGAATAAAATGAAACATGAGAAATGCGTGGAAAAAATTATGAAAAAAATTTATAACCTCTAACTATGATACAAATTTTTGGTTTATGTAATATATTTTTATTTCTCTAACCATATTTCTGCGAGAACTAATTATATTAAATATTACTTAAAATTCTATTATCAAAATAATTTTAAAAAATTTATTAACTCATTGAGAATTACAACACTTAAGAATATATTTTATTAACAATTTTTACTAATCGAAAAATTTCTTTTTTTATTTTAGAATATTGCAAGATGACTAGAAAAGGTTCGAGTCCTCTGGGGCTCGACATGTTGGCGTTTACAGCGGCAATAGCATTTGTCTTTTTGCCATTATTAGCACAAGCCGGTAAGTTTTAAAAAAATCCACCTAAAATTATTTAAAAAATTAAACTCAAAAGTAAGCATATGAAGAAACAAAATATTTTTTTAAAAATCATTTAAGCCGCAGAAAAAAATATATTTGGGAAATATACGCGTTTTTAGCCTTGATTAGCGGGTGTTTAGCAAAAATATGTAAAAAAACGGTATAAAAAAAATACACGAAAAAAATTATATATGTAAAATAATTTAAGAAATATTGTCTGTCAAAAATATGAGTAGTGAGTGGGAAGTGAGTTCATAAATCAAAGGAGAGAAAGTTCGACAACAGAGACATCTAGTATGGCGTTGGTGGTGCCAGTAAAAAGCATTAAGATTTATAGCTTACGAAATACTGCGCAAATATTTGAGTACTAAATACACAAATATGGCATTTGATAGAAAATTCGAGTATTTCACGCGCGGCAAACTGCACACATATTGACCCCTAAATGCGTATACATATGTATGTATATATCTGTGCCAACAAAGAAGGGTAGCGAACAAAACTGGCCATATGTGTGAGAGTAAAACAATTAATTTGTTTGCTTTTGTTTTGTGCTTCAACAGGAATTTGCGACACATTGCAATTTCCGCAAAAATTCCCGTCATGCCTTGTGCTCTAAGCGCACGCATTACACCTTTTGTTAATAACCTGTAATGGGAGAGAGGGTGGCTAGAATGTGCATCACTCACATACACGTACAAATGTACTATATATATGTGCAAGTGTGCACCTGTCAGCGCTACCCTAAACATTCAGCACATATTGGTCACTCATTACGGTCGTACTTAAATGCAATACATATACATATACATATACATATGTATATACTAACTTAAATAACGCAAGATATGGTAAAGGAGAGACAAAAGGACTTGTCACTACATTTATTATACTTCCAACTGCTAAATTGAAAAGAACTATCCATTAATGGGTCCGCATATTAGAATCGAGTTGAAAGAAAGAGACACATACATACATACATTAACGAGCATTTTTGCGCCCATTCATGCGTGCTCATTAGTTCTTTTACTCACATACATACATACATACTGATATGTGTGCTGGAGATTGGTTGTGACCCTTGACATGCTTTTGGCAATACAAGCAATAAAAATAAATTGAATCTCTTTAGGTCGCTCTCAAAGTGACGATTAAGGTGACGACTAGAGAAATGAAAATAGTGCGGCGAGACACTTCTTATAGCCGGAACCTTCATTTGCTATTCTCACATACATATACATATATATTCATATATATTTGTATGTGGTCGCACAATTAACACCAAAAAAGCAACAGATGAGCCATATAATACAATTAGCTACACTAACAACAACAAGAGAAAATATACCAATACTCAAGACTCACCCCTAAGCAAAGCATTTACGCTCTTGTTGATCTCTCTAAGCCACCAAAAATCACAAATTAAGCTGCAAATATTTATTTTAATTTATTTTGTTTTAATTTTCATTCATTTGTTTTTGTATTGTTTTGAAAATTTTCTCATTATTTAGTATATGGACAGTTGTTGCCGTATAACACTTTTGGTATTCAGACAAATTACTATCAGCTGTCATTGGTTACATGAGAAAAAAACGGTTCAATTTTGTAATGAAATACATAGCGTTGCATAGACATGTTGTATGTGTGTGTGTGTTTATTTATGTATTTATGTGTGTGGGTGTATGCGCTTGTCTGCTCTCACTGAGGTCAATGTATTCTGTTACTTAATTAAGCATTGTTGTGCCTCGTATAAAGCGCAGAAAAGTGCCAAAAAATCTGTTGCATTTTCTGTTGCCCTCGACCGACTCATCATCGCTCGCCCAAGTTTCGTATGGAGTTAACTAAATGAAATGGGGTTGCTATACGCTTGCAGAAGGGATGTGACTGTGTGCAGCCAATTTGTGAGTTTATAGGTTTTTATTGGTTTTTGTGTTTGCTTATTTTTATTTTTTTTCTGCTTATTCATCATTTTTTCGCTACTCATTGACATTGAATGCGTATTTCATTGTGCGAAAATTCAATTGATGTCATTTGTGTTTAAATTTTTGCGTCAATTTATTTATATACAGTGCTGACTAAATAAATTTATTGACTGCACATACGTATTCATTTAAAGAGCGACGCCAATTAGTAATAAAAACTAAATAAATCAGAGCAATGAAATACATGAGCGGAGGCTTGACTTGTAGGAAATTTTTACTTGTGTAAAAATTAAATAATATTAATTTTGTTATATTTTTTAAGTTTAATTTTAGTAAATGTAAAGTATAATTTAATACTCAAGCTAAATAAAATAAAAAATTTATTTAAAATTAAACTTAACAAAAGCTAATAAAATTTCATTTAAAAATAACAGATTATATATGCGATACTACTACATAAAATATGTAATTTAATAATTAAAAAATAAATAAATCAAAATAGAAGATATGTTTTTTATCACATGATAATACAATAAAAAAATTAAACTATAAATTAGCGGCAAAATACTAAAGCTAATAATATTATCCTGGATAGGATATATAAATAAGAAAACATGTAATATTATTCCAAGCTATCTGGGCTATGAGTTCCAAAAAAAGAAAAATTAAATGTAATGAAAGTTAAAAAACGATCAAGAAATAAATCTGAAAAGTATTTAAAAGAAATAAATTCTGATAATTGCAAAAATATTAAAATTATAAATATAAAAATATTTTTTTATTTTTTTTTTAGTTTTTGAACAAGAAAACTAAAAAAAATTGCAGAACTCAACTAAAATCGAGTCCAATTTAAGAAAATCAGTGCTTAAAAAATTAATTATATCAGTAAAGGCAAAATAAATGATAGAATTTCAAAAATTACTGGAATCTATTTTTTTTTAATTTTGGATTAAAATTATTAACAGCATACCGACTGAGTAGCCATATGTAATAAAAGTTATATTTAAAACTTCAATTATGAAAAAGGAACTTGAATATTTCAGAACTAATAAAAATAAAAAAATCTTTAATTATAAAAATTAAGTGAAATTAATAAACAACTTATAAATAATAAATAAAAAATAAATAAAATTAATGTATGTTTATAAAAATTAAATAAATAATAAATAACAGATTGATAATAAGCTTGTTCATTGCATATAATAAATAATAAGCAATTATTAAAAAAAAATAATAATATATAAGGATTTATATTCCATAATAATAAATGATTATAATAAAAAAAATCAATTATTAATAATTAAATATATAAAAACAATAATCAATAAAAAAAAATATATATATATAATACATAATTAATAATAAATAAAAAATATTGTATTAAATAATAAACGATAAAAAATAAATAACAAATAAATGAATAATAATTTTTAATTAAAAAATAAATAAAAAAATAATTAATAAAATATAATTAATATATAATAAATAATAAATTAGAAATGATAACTAACAAACAATAATTAATAAATAAATTATTACTAATAATGAGTAGTAAGTGTTAAATTATAACATATAATCATATGTAAATAATAAGTAGTAAATAATAATTACAATTAATGAAAAACATATTATAAATAAAAATTAATAAATAATTAATAACAAATGTTAAAAAGTATAGTTTCTATATATAAAACTTATAAAGTATTTAAAAAAATGTTGAGTAGAAACAAATTACATCTACACGCTTACGCATACACAAGCAGTTCATGCAGCATCAACCAACAATAAAAAGGTTTACCCAAATACAATAAATAGTCTGCCAGTGCATTTCTAAAAAATAAAATAAATAAAAATAGTACGTGAAGAAGAAGACGTGGTGAAGAAATTGCCACAAAAATAAATCAATTCGAAATGACAGCTATCATACATATACTCCAAAGTATGTTTACGTCGCTGCGGCATGCCACAAAGCAACGGCTGCGGGCTGTGTGTGGTAGCCAGGGGTGCCAGCGGCGGCAGCAGCAAGATTTGAGTGGAAATGTGAGTACGTATATATGTATGTACATAAATATGTAAATAGTGTTGTGGTTGCGCGCCTGGCAGGGTCAGCGCACCTTTTGAAAGGCATGCAACGCCTATTCACCTGTATGTGGATTACTGCAAAACAATAACAAATATATGTATGTAAATATGAAAACGCATATGTAGATGCCAATTGATATACGTTTGTATGTCTGTATATATGTATGTGCAAGTGAGTTATTTGTGCGAGTATTTGTTTTCAAAGTTTTTTGCCGTTTTTTTTTTTTTACAAATTTCTAAATCGAGTACTGAAGCTGGACGTATGAATGCTTGTTGTACTGCTTTCGTCGCTTTGTTGTTTTACTGCTATTTTCTACTTGCACAGAAACAAATGCTTCTAATTTTCATTCATTTCCGCCATACAAACGCCTAGTCCGCCGTCCAACAGGCTATTAATAGTTTGTTTTTGTCTTTGTTGTTGTTTTTCGTTTTTGCAGCCGCCCTTTGGCTATACGTCTGTGTGGGGTTTACGCCTTTCATAAGCAGTATTTAAAGCGTTTAACGGTATTTTGGGCGAATCTGCCATGCAGTTGTATGTGTGTATGCCAGGTATATTAGCTATGCGCTCTCTAGACATATTCAGTTATTTAGTCATTCATTGGTACATTTCATGTATTTACATATATACATATGTATAAATTTTTCAACTTTTTTCATGGCTGTAAATTGAGTTATGAGCGGTAAATGGCAGACTTTCACACAACCTATCAGGTTATGGCAAGAATTCGGAAAAGAAATTAAAATTGATTAGAAGGGGAAGAAGAATGGGAAAAGTGCACGAAAAAGTTATAATGTGTAAAATCGCATTCTAAACAAATACGAAAAAAATAAGCTTTGTAGTCGGTAATAAAAGGTAATGAATTAAAAATAAGAAAAAAACATAAACATATCTGGGTAAAAGTTCACCGCTAACTGCCGCTTTTAATTACAAATCTTCAAACATCGTATGGTAAACTTGGTTTATTGCTCACAACTTAG